CCTCCCCCGCAAACAGACACTACCCCTTTAAAAAAAAACCCTCAGGTTGGCCACATCAGGCTCCTGCTGGCAGGCTCCATTTTGCTTCGAAATAACAATGTGAGCGTCTACACTGCCATTCCTGTTATTTTGAAATAATGGACAGCTTATTCAGAAATCTGTAAACCTCATTCTATGAAAAATAGCGCCTATTTCAACATAGCTATTTTGAAATAAGGTTTGTGCAGATGCTCCACTGCAGCTATTTCTAAATAGCCCCTTACCAGGGCCATTCTCAGTTATTCCTCCCCAGCACCTCCTGGGGCTTTAAATCAAGATAGCACATCTACATTAGGGAAGCCTGCCTCAGACTAATTTTGAGGCTTCCCTGCAATGTAAATATACTATTTTGAAATAAGCTATTTTGGAATAAATATTCCGGAATAAACTTAAAAAACAACAAATAGTCTGTTAGCACTTTATAGACTAATAAAACATGTAGATGGTATCATGAGCTTTTATGGGCACAGCCCACTTCTTCAGATGACCAGAGTGTTGGATATCCAGAACGAAAATAAATTCTGGAACAGCTTATTTCGAAATAAGCATGCAGTGTAGATGTACCTCAAATGGCCAGTGTTGTCTTGTGTCACACCTGAAACATTCATGTCTTTTTTTCACATCCATGTAAATCTGAAATGCCACAACCTGTTTTGTTGGGGAAAAAAGGAGACCACTGCATGAACACTGGGAAATAGAGCTCTCACCCGGGGAATTAAGCTTTCTTTCCAAAGTTATGAACTTGTAGGTTTATTAATACATTTAATTTCTTTCTTCCTTTAGTAACAAGGAACTCATTTGTGTTTGATGGATAATCCGGGTATAGGTCACGGAAACAAATTGAATCATATTTTATAGCCTCATTTGAATATTATCTAGGTGATTTAACTGATCCATGTTTAGCAAGAGACCTACCTCTTCATAAGGAATAATTCTGTTTTGGAATGGTGCAATAGTATATAGCCAAAGATTTGTTTTAAAAGTATATACTAGAAAGCATAGTTCAAGTCCAGAGTGCTTGCATTTATTCTTATTCTTATTGTGGGATACAGGTGAGTTGAAAGGATAACGGCAGAGTGTAACTTTTTTCTTTTTACCTGTTGACCAATAATGGTTTGAAACTGAAACTTGTCTACGGACAAAACTGGTAGGTAGGGAGAGGGGGAGGGGGAGATCGTGTTAAGTGAAAACGTGTTATGTGGGGTCAATTTTTCCATTGAAAAAAATGGAAAAGGTGGAGGTTGCGTTTCAAGCGGTGGTGTCTGTTGGGACCGGGACATAAGGTTGAGGAAGAAAGGGGACTTGGTTACAGCAGGGAGGGGAGGTGTTTGGCTCTGGGGAAGGAAAGGGAAGGAGAGGGGAGGGGAATTAGGTTGGGAGTATGCCCCTGCGACGGGTCTGCCAGGACCCGCACTGCGTCTGGCGAAGGGGGTTCGGTGGGGAACGGTGTAGCGAGTGGCATACCCTCCGCCGCTTTGCAGAGAGTTGGGGGAAGCGCCGCACAGCCGTCGGTGTCAGGCCAGCTGGGGAAATCATGTTATTCTGGGGACGGTCGTGTAATTCAAAAAACATTTCCTAAAAAAAAAAAATTGTGCTATCGTGAAAACGTGTTAAGCCGTCACATGTTAAATGAGGAATTACTGTACTGTCTTCCATGCACAGTGGTCTTCCACACAGTGAGTGATGGTTTACAGTAATAAGCAGGGCTCAACAAACTATACAATCTACTTGCCCATGGCGAGTAGATTTCAGCCGTGCGCCCCATTGATTTGCAGCATGCGCATGCGCGGTACGGGGCTGGCGAGTGGTTTTCGCTGCCGTTTGTCAAGCCCCGGTAATAAAGACGCGTCACACTTTCTTCTTATATATTACATACATGTCAATTGTGTTTATATACAGCACATACCAAATAACTCTGTGGTTCTCTCCTGACTGTTCCCTCAGTAAGTAATTCCGTTTTGATTCATGGTTTACCTGTTTGTGGGCTGCTGCTCCTATCAGAGTAACATTGCCCTCTTTACTTCTCTGATTATGGATTTGGGTGTGTGAGGGAGCACTCCAGTTATTCTTAGCAGTGTTTCTGCAAGCCCCACCCCCCAACCCAGCTTTTCTTTCTGGTTGTACATTCACGTGAGTGCAACTAAACATGATGTGCATTATTGGATATTTTTGTGCAATGCCTTCAGATTATGCAAAATGAGCTTTATTCTACTTGAGAGGAACAAATTTTAGATACTAGGCAGGCATTGTATACTGGAGAGGAAACTTTTATAGTTTCACCCTCTTTTCTCTCTCCCCGCCCATACTTAATACTATTAAAAACAACTAAAATTTGTTTGCTAACATGGCTTAGTTGATTCTGTTAATTTGGTATACAAAGTTACACGTGTGTATGTGGTTAGTCATTCATTGTCATCATCGGAAGCAACACATCAGGGGAGGAGAGAATATGAAGTCACAAGACCCACCAAAATTGCAGCTTGTTCAAGCATACTCACATGGACTGAGCATGTTCAATAACATCTGCTGAAGCTGCTTCCCTCTCTGATGCTCACTGTCTGTGTAGCATGATCATGGGATTAACATAGTTACCCTGTTCTCTATATCTAAAAGAGATAATAGATTTAGAGCAGATTAATCTCTTTAGATTTGTCGTAAGAGATTTGTGGGCTACCATAGAAAGGTGGCTGATAGGCAGCAATTCACAGGCTTCAAGAAACCATGTAATGTATAGCATAAAACTTCAGTATCCAAAGACTATACTATATTCCCAAGCAGTGGGTCCCTTTTTCTATTGATTTCCAAAGATGATAATTGTGATTCTTAATTGTTTTGAAAGTGTCTTCCCTGAAAGTTTGGTGCCAGCAAGCTTCCAGAGAGTGTCAATTTAGCTTTCTGCTGGTGAGCTATTATTTTTAATACCACATCAGTATTTTGATACTATACTGACGGGGGGACCTCAGCAGTTCAAGCAAAAGTTGTTTTCTCCCTCCATTGAAATTAAAATATTAGAACTTCTTTTTTACCTAATTCTATAAAATGTAAAGTTTGTGTCACTTCTGGCAAAGCAAGAGGAAGAGGGCCTTTCTGAGTTCCACTATCCTTTAGACCCTTATAGCTAAGTTCTCTGACTATTTGACTTAAATAAAATGTAACAAAAAACAGGAACCTTACTAGCTAACAGTAACTAACAATAAAAAAGAAATGGAAAATAGTTGTTAAAACTAAATAGCAAACAAGCTTCACAATTACTTGAAACTGAAACCAACATTAAATCTTAGTATTTTTGTTAGTATAAAAATAAGAGATGATAAATTAAGCAGCTATTTGTTACTCTCTTTCTTAATGTAATTTTACTGCTTGTCATTAAAATCACATTTTTAATTGCTTTATTAGCTTTTAGTGGTGAAAAATGGATGTACAAATTAAGGATGTTAAATTGCATTTAATCAACTAATCGACTAGTCGATGGAATTTGCTTTGACTAGTCTGTTAGTCGATAAATGGGAGAATCTGCAAAGCCACAGTGGGTTAGCTCCAGGCTCTGGGAGTTAACCTCGCTGTGGCTCTGCCTTTTAAAAAAAAATAGAGGCATGGTACCTGGGACTGGGTGCGAGCCAGGAATCAGTTGATTCCCAGCTTGCATCCGGTCTCTTACTGCATCTGGTCCCTCACTGTGCCTTTTAAGCCAGTTCTCCCAGCACCAGTTTATGCTTATCGGATAGTTGACTAGTCACTTACATCCCTAGTAGAAATAACGTGCAGTTTGTTTAATAGAGACTTTATGCAGGTAAACATTGTTTTGAATGGATGTTGCTATATGAGAAATCCAATCAAAGTTTCAGAATTCTAATAATTTTCCCCTATTCACTCTTGAATTAAAAATCCATTTTTCAAGTGAAGCTTTCTATGTAGATATGCACATACAGAATTGCTTCTACATCTCAAACCTTTGTTTGCTTGAACATTGTGCCACCTTGTGCTTCTTGAAATGCTCTGAATACTGCAGGCACTGCAGTGAAAAAGCAGCAGCAACTGCAGACTGGCCTGGTTTGAAAGGATGACATCACCTCCATTAATGTGTGATAAAGACTGCTGGCTCAGAGATTGCTGAGCTGTGTAGAGATTGGTGCAGATATTTTTGGCTCTGCTCTTGAGTACATTTGATGACTTTCTTCAATAAGTCTTGCTAAACCTACAAATCATAAGTGCTTTGTAGTACAATTAACCTTAAAAAAGGTAATGTGCTGCTTTATTTATTGACATGATCACTCCCACATGGAGTTAGAGCGTGTTCTTGTCCCTCCCTTTCAGCACTCTCCCACCCAGATACAATCCCCTCTGTCTTTTGCCTTCAGTAATGTCAGCATTGTAAAACAGACACAGACATAGGCCCTTAAAGGGGCAGGAACATGAAACTCATACACCCTGAGCCTTTAAAGATGTGCTCAGCTGCAGCAGGTAAGTCTTGGAGCCCCAGTTTTGCAAGGTGCTTAATCAAGTGCGTAACCTAACTAGCCTCATTGAAGTCAATGCTGTGATGCACATTGTTTGGTGCCTGGTAGAATTGGTGCTTAAGGCAGACTCTAACATACAGAACTAGCCCTATACAATAAGATTATTTTTCATTAATTTCTGTCAGGTAAAAGAACGTTTTTCAGCTTAACCTTAATAAAATAAGCATCTTAATTGCTCGGCATGGCAGGAGAGGGAGCGTATACAAAACACACATCACACATAGGGTTAATTAGTCAGTGTTACCAAATAGGATGTAAAATCCCATTTAATTGGCTAACTGGTTAAACATATTGTTTGACCAGTTCAACAATTAAAGAGGGAGGCAAGCAGGGGGACTGCTCCAGCCTGGCTGAGACACCCCACCTCCTCTTCTTCTTCTCCCTCCCCCGCAGGCATGGGCTGCTACTCCAGCCTAGCCAGAGCAGTCCCTGCCTGCTGGGTGCCTTGACTTCCTGAGAACAGATACTTCACCACCTCCTCCCACTGCCACAGCTGCTCCAGCCCCACTGGTTAACCTTAATTGGTAAGCCTCGCCCATTAATAGTGAGGCTTACCAGTGAAATGGTTAAACCTTCACATCCCTATTACCAAACCCCCCTGCTTCTTGAAAAAGAGGCTGCAAAATACTATCTCTCTTCTAGAGCTGATGGGTAATGATGCTGTTGCAGAGTAAACACATTTACAGACTTGCTGGAAGACTTGTTTTAATCTAAAGCTTCTAGCCTTACTCTGGTTCCCAGTAGAGTTACAGCTGCTACAGGGTGAGCGAGCATATATCAACAAAAAGTTGCTGTGTGGAACTTACTATAGCCCAAAATGTGATTGACTCCCTTGAGCAGCTGCAACCTGCTGCATCTGCGGTGCTCTAACAACGAACTAAAACTTCAAACCCTGTTAGTTTGGTGGATATGGAACAGCTGTGTAATCTAGGAATGCTGACTTGTAATTTATCAATATCATATGTGATCTGCTTAGTAAGAATTGCTCTATGGCAGCGATGGACAACCTAGGCAAGTGAGTGGCCCACCTGATGGCCATCCTCCTTGGCCAGTAGACTGCAAGCCTGTTGTAATCAAGATGGCCTCCCAGAATAGAATAGTATCAGAGGGGTAGCCATGTTAGTCTGAATCTGAAAAAGCGGTGAGGAGTCCTGTGGCATGTGCATCTGACGAGGTGGGTCTTTGCCCACGAAAGCTTATGCTCCAACACTTCAGTTAGTCTATAAGGTGCCACAGGACTCCTCGCTGCTTTTTCAGAATAGGATAATTGTTCTCACAGTGCTTGTGCACCTAGAATTTTCAGGGTGTGCAGACTGAGCCATAGCAGTTCTTTGATTGGATACAGAGGGAGTCCATGGCTTTTACAACATTGACTGTATGTAATCAGCACACATCTCGCTTCATGTATGTGTCACTTCAGAAATACCACTAGGGAAAAAATGACTTGGACAGAAACTAGCATAATCCAGCAACCCTGTCTGTGCGTGGGCAACGATCAACAAAATGCCACACACCAAACTCTGATAGGCTGCATGCAGCCCTTGAACCTCAAGTTGCTCACCACAGTTGTATGACTATTTTGGCTTATTTGACTGTACTTTGAATGTACTGACTAACCTTTAATGCAGGGCTATTGTAAGAACAAGGAGGAGAGAAACACAACAGCTCTAAATAAGTCTCCTGATGAATTTGGGAGCAGTTACAAAATACTGACTAAATAATTAGTGGTAAAGGTGCCATTTCCAGGCTCCTGCTCTTTTGCCAAAGCTGGGAGCCTAGAGATCAAAATGATTCTTAACAGTTAAGACTTGGAGGCATGTGGGAGCATTGTCAAAGAGTTCTTCCTGGGGCAACAGATCAGTATAATCACAGACAGGTCAGGCAGGAGTGTCTGAAGGAGAAGCCTTCTCAAGCTTCCAGGAGGTGATGGTAGGCCTTAAGAAAGACAGACCTCTGCATAATTTGTGTTTTAAACTCTGTCTCTGAAATTAGTTGGTACTAATTAAAAATACACTGCATTAAGAAGCTTGCATGGTCACTGAATGCTACTGGTCACAGCTCTGGAGGAGAAGAAATTCACATACTGAACCTAAGGCAGTTCTGAAGAAAAGGACCTGGGGATTACAGTGGATGAGAAGCTGGATATGAGTCCACAGTGTGCCCTTGTAGCCAAGAAGGCTAATGGCATATTAGGGTGCATTAGGAGGAGCATTGCCAGCAGAACCAGAGATGTGATTATTCCCATTTATTCGGCTCTGGTGAGGCCATATCTGGAGTATTGTGTCCAGTTCTGGGCCCTCCACTATAGAACGGTTGTGGATGCATTGGAGAGGATCCAGCGGAGGGCGAACAAAATGATTAGGGGGCTGGATCATGTGACCTATAAGGAGAGACTGAGGGATTTGGGTTTGTTTAGTCTGCAAAAGAGTGAGGGGGGATTTGATAACAGCCTTAAACTTCCTGAAGGGAGGTTCCAAAGAGGATGGAGAGAGGCTGTTCACAGTAGTGACAGGTGGCAGAACAAGGAACAATAGTCTCAAGTTACAGCAGGAGAGGTCTAGGTTACATATTAGGAAAAACTATTTCACTAGGAGGGTGGTGAAGCACTGGAATGGGTTACCTAGGGAGGTGGTGGATCTCCTTCCCTAGAGGTTTTTAAGTCTCGGCTTAACAAAGCCCTGGCTGGGTTGATTTTGTTGGGGTTGGTCCTGCGTTGGGCAGGGGGCTGGACTTGATGACCTCCTCTCTTCCAGCTCTATGATTCTAAGGCAGTCCTCCTTAGATAGTCACAGGGACTAAAGACTGACTCAGTCTGGATTCCATTCAGAGATGCTGGCTTGAGATCTGGTGGCAGGGTGTGCTCAAAGAGGAGGCAAAGGGCCAGAGGTCCAGTCACAGTTAGCAGTGAACAACTAACTAGCAGATATTTGCTGGAGAAGTGGCACCATAAAAACCACCGTCTCTAACTTGGAGGAAACTGTCACTGGGAGCAAGGATGAGCTTCAGTGGCAATATAAGTTGCACTATATGGAGTTCTGTAATATCCAGTGGCGTATGGGTCTAAATCTTGCCATTAAAATGATTAATGTGACTTAAAAATAGATTAGATTGGTTTTGAAGGGAATCTTTTGTAAAGAGACAATTGAAATACTGTCTGTTTTGTTGGCTTAACGGATTCCACAAATGAGAAACTCATTTTATCTTGTCTGCAGGTATTTCCCAATGGGATTGCCTGTAAGGAAGCATTAATGTTGCACCTTGAAGAAATGTTTCCTAGCAAGAGAGAGTACTTTAAACACTTGAAGTGCCACATATTCTCCGTGAAGTGAATTTTTTTCTTCTAAACATTCATGAACTTGGAGTATGTCTGTGCTGCAGCTAGGAGCATCTTCTCAGCTCAGGCAGACAATTCAAAATAGCCCTGCTCCAGCTAGTGCACTAAAAGCAGCATTGTAGCCAAGGGCAGCACAAGTGACTTGGACTTGGTGTCTGTATATAAATTCACCTGTATCCCCTGCGTGCACACTTGGACAGTTACCCTGAGCTGCCATTTATGCTACCTCTGCTTACATTATTTTTAGTGCACTAGGTTGAGCAGAGCTAGAATGTGTTTATATACATCAGTTGCAGAGTAGACATAGCAGGCATAAAGTGTTCTTTGGGTGCATTTGCATTCCAGACATCTGCTTATAAGATGTTCAAGGCTCCTGGACTGTTTATTAGAACCCTAGGTAACCCATGTGCTATTTTTAGGATATGTACAAAGTTTTTGAAATGACGGTCCAGCTTTTATTTCTTGCTTGTTAAATAGACCTTATTCTAAAATTCACACAAGTAGAAGACAGGACCTAGAAAGGAATCGCCATGCAAATAGGTTTGTTTTTGCAACTGGGACATGTTTTGAAAGTGGTGTTTCAAGTGGTCTGTGGGTGACTGAAATTCATTGGTTGCTACCTTGCATTAGTTGCATATAAGACCTTTGTTTGCTGGAAAGGGAAATGAAAGGAAATCAGAGCACCCGTTCAAGTGAGAGCTACTAAATTAAGTTGACCTACTTTTTAAAATCTATTTTCAGAGAGTGTAACTTCAGTGTTTTACTTTCCATTAAGAGTTGCCTACTGACCTGGCTATTCTAGTACATGTATACATATTTCTAAAGTAAAATTTTATAGGATAAAAATTAGGAATGTAAAATCTTGTTTCTGGCTAACTGGTGTTTAACCAGTTAATCGATTAAATGGAAGGGTGGGAAAGGGGTTCTGATGCAATTCCCGCCCTCCACCCACTGCTGGGCTGCAGCACCTCCCTCCCCCGGAATGCTGGAGCAGCCCCTAGGCCCACCGTGGACACAGGCTGCTCCACCACCAGGCAGGGAGTTGCTCTAGTCCCCACCGGTCAACTGGTTAAACATTCACATCCCTAATAAAAATGGAGTTTACAAAAGGCTCTAACTGACTGAGAACTCATTATTAATCAGATGACCCCATTAAAGATGTAGGCTTCCAGATGCATTAAATAAGATAAACATTTCCTTGTGTATTAAATGTGATTTGAAAGCCTGCTTAGAATCATGGAACGCTAGCACTGGAAGGGACCTCGAGAGGTCAAGTCCAGTCTCCTGCCCTTGTGGCAGGACCAAGAACGGTCTGGATCATTGGGGTTGCCGGGTATCCAGTACTGACCCGGATAGCCCGGTATTTTCACCTCCTGACCAGTTTAAAAAAAAAAAAAAAAAAAAAAACAAAAAAAAACCAAGTCCCCCGCCCCGCCAGGAGGTGAAAATACCGGACACCTGGCAACCCTACAACACACTCAGCAACCGGGCCCAGCCCTCCCCTGCCGGGTCCCCCTGACACCCTCCCCCCCAGGCCTGTGCTTACCTGGTTCCTCAGGGGCTTGTCTTGTGGCTGGAACAGAAAAACAAAATGGCCACCAGCAAAAAGCCTCTTCTTAAAGGGGCCATGATTATTTTTATTTTTAAATTTAATTTAGTTTAATTTAATTTATTTATTTGTTGCTTAACTGCTGTCAGGGTCCCTTTTTTCCCCTCAACAACTTTGGTCTCCCCCTTTTTTTTCCCCTCACCAATATTTCTCCCAGTGTTTTTATTTTGAGGGGAGGAGTGTTGATATTTTTGGTTAAACTGTCTGGCAGACATATGGATCATCCCTGACAGATGTCTGTTCAACCTGTTTTTAAATATCTTCAGTGGTGGATATTCCACAACTTCCCTAGGCAGTTTATTCCAGTGCTTAATCACCCTGACAGGAAGTTGTTTCTAGTATCCAACCTAAGCCTCCCTTGTTGAAATTTAAGCCCACTGTTTTTTGTCCTATCAACAGGGGTTAAGGAGAATAATTTTTCTCCCTCCTCCTTGTGACACCCTTTTAGGTATTTAAAAGTTTTTATTATGTCCCCTCTCAGTCTTCTCTTTTCTAAAATAAACCCAATTCTTTCAGTCTTTGCTCATAGGTCATGTTTTCTAGACCTTTAATCATTTTTGTTGCTCTTCTGTGGACCCTCTCCAATTTCTCCACATCATTACTGAAATGTGGTGTCCAGAACTGGACACAGTACTTCAATTGAGGCCTTACACTGCATTATCAGCCACTGACAAATTTCCTTGTTTCTTATGTCTTCTAGGTTTTCGCAAAAATGATGAAATGAAGGCTATGGATGTATTACCAATTTTAAAGGAAAAAGTTGCCTATCTTTCAGGTAAAGTCTTACTAACATGGATTGTATTTTTGCTGGAGGAGTTTGACAGCCACAGACAAAACACTTTTTACCACTTAGGAAGGGGATCATTGTATAAATGCCCAATCAAGCCACTAGTTCATCTAGTTATGAACCACAAAAGTTAGCCAAAAGTGTTAATATTCAACAAAGCCTTTCAATGAATGTCGGTGAATTTCATGGTAAGTGGAAGCTATATGGGCTTTCATTTCTAAGTAACTGCTATGACCAAGAAATAATGAAATAATAAGGTCCCTGATAATAACCTTTAGTGACTGTTCACAAGTTAATGGCATAGTCAGGCACAGAACATATCAGATCTGACATGAGTTCCCACAAACCATCTCTGTTCAGTACTGCAGATAAAAATGTTAGTATACTACAGGCATCTCAAATTGAAGCCCACGATGAAATGACTCAGAGCTTTTCCAGTGAGTCAGTGGACTTGTGTAATTGGGATTAGAATATGTCCAGACCTCAAATCCTCTTTTACCATTAGTCTACTATCCCATTATACATAGTTTAGCAGCATAGTTTAGAATCCAACTTTTTAATCAGATGATTTAAATATTAACTCTGACTGTACTCTTGCTGGTACTTTTTAGTCATGTAAAAGTGATGTAACAATATGATCTTGAATGTATTTATTCTCAAAAACATCCCCATGAGATAACAAGGAAGTACTATTATGTCAGTCTCTCAGTTCTTATCTGTAAAATTAAGTGACTTGCCCAAGAACACATTGGAAGTCTGTAGCAGAGCAGGAAATGGTTCCTTGTTCTCCTGAGTCTTTGGATGGAACCCTAAACACTAGACAGTCTTTTTAAAATCTTACTTTCACATCTGAAACAAAATCTTTTAACTTAGGCTGTTCATCAGGGGCATCCCCGAAGACCACTGTTTATTGTTAATGTGTTGTATTGATAAGATTTTGTGCAAATTGGCATTTCCTGAAAAATCTTAAACTAGCCATCTGGAGTCTGTAGGCAAGGCTTGCATACTTTACCTTGCAAGAAGTGATGCATGTTAGCTGATTCTGGCTGGAAAAAGGAAAAAAGCAATAAAAGAAAATACACCTCTCTCTCTTCACGTAGAGAAATTTGGTGCATATGAATTAATATTTAATTTTAGTTTTATATTACTAAAATAAAAAGTTCAAGTCTTACTTTAGATAGAACAATAAGTACATTCTTATGAGTGTTGCTTATTATCGGCAATTTTTACTTAGGGGTGCTGGATTTCACTTGGGGTTGAGTGAGACTGTGATGTTGCTGGCAACTGTGGGACTCCATTTTGAGTTGCATCTACATTTTGAAACCTCATTTGAATCAGTCTGCCTGAAGGTCCAGACCCTACTGAGGAGGACATAGAGGCTGTATCGGGGTGATTCTTAGTTTATTTATCATTGTGAGCCATGTAGGCAGTGCTCTGTGCATCATATGGGCTGCATCCAGACAGTTTGTATATACTACCTGAATAGCCCTGGGACTATCATGAGGGCAACAGCTGTGTACTAATTAGGGCGTAGGTTGAGACCCATTGCTATGTAGCCTGCTCTAGCTCTTTGGAGCTCAGTTTAGTTAGAAGTTTTCTCCAAGGTGAAGCACATTCCAGCTTGAGAATTCAGTCTAGCCTGTGCTAGCATAGTTCTGAAGCTCTCTCCACTTGAAGTCTGATTTAACGCAAAGTCTTGGCTCTAGTGTGGCAGTTGCATTAAGCTTACGTATGCTTTACTGCTAAAGCAGCTTACTTCAGTCCTGAGAGCTGCTAAATGCTAGCTAAGGGTTGCAGCTATAAACCTTTGTACCCTTTCAGGGGATTTACAAAAGGGTGTTTTTTATGCAGCTGCTGACTGAGGCTTTGTCTATATTTAAGAGTTTAAAGTGCAGCTGCAGCAGCGCTTTAAACAGAAAGTGTGGCCACGGCATGAGCGCTGGAAGAGAGGTCCCCTAGTGTTCTATATAAACCACCTCCACAAGCTGAGTAGCTAATGGCATTGGGAGTATGGCTCTCAGCACTGTAGCCTGGTTTCACACTGGTTCTGCACAGTGCTGTAACTTGCTGCGCTCCAGGGGGAGGAGGTTTTGCACCTCTGAACCAGGAAGTTAGTGCTGAAATATGCCAGTGTAGACTTAGCCTGAGTTACATGAGTTCGTTAACATGATTCCCATAGATCTTAAACATACAGAAATGTAAGTAATATTTAAGTTAAGGGACTCCTGATTTTTAGCTCCTCTCTCTTTCACTGCACATGTTACACAAGTAGCAGTGCAATGGTGTTCTTGTAGCAGTGTACTGCACTCGCAAGGTGCCCCAGTAAGCTGTCCTTTGTACTACAGGTTGAATATCTCTAGACCAGTGGTTCTCCAACTTTTTGGCCCATGGATCACCTGGCTCATCGCAAACGTTTCCGTGGACCACCAGTTGCCAATGGAAACTCGCCATTAATTACGTTTGAGCCATTTTGCTAGTGCTGCAGCCTGGGAGAACGGCTTAATTTAACCAGTAAGAAAGGAAATATTAATTTAAATTAAGCAGACTAAGCGCTTTAACTTTGTTAGTTTATCAAACTTCATTTTAAATAAAGTAACATATTAATTTATGTCCAACACAAAAGGTTTCCAGGTTTTCTTTATTCATGGCAGGGGTGGGGAAACTGTTTTGAGTTGTGCCACTGACCCACAGAAAAATCAGCTGGGGGACCATACAAGTGAGAAGCAAAAAAACCCCCCTCTCAAACTCCCCCACCCCTCACTGATGTGGTTCCCAACTGAGACACTTCACTCCTCTGGCACTTCAGCCCCACTGGGGAAGGGGGAAGCGGGGAGCGGGGGGACAGGGTGGACTGAGGTTCAGGGCTTTCAATAGGCCAGATTTACTCTTCTGGGGTTCTAGGGTTAGTGGATTTTGTGGATACTCCCTAAGCTCTGGGGTTGGGACAAAAATCGGGGATTCTGTGTGCGGGAAAAGGCTTCCAGTGAGAGGAATGGGGGTGCAGGATTCGGGTGGGAGGTGGAGTGTAGGAGGGGGTGAAGGTGGGAGGTCTGTATGGGAGGTGAAGTGCAGGAGCAGGCTGAGAGTAAGGTGTCTAACCAGGAGAAGGAGGCAAGAGCAAGGCAATGTCAAGTGTGTGGCCAGAGGGGAGGGGTGCAGGAGCAGGCTGGGGATAGGTAGCTAGCCAGGTGGGACAGTGCAGGAGCAGGCTAGGAGGTGTGGGGTCTCAGTGGGGGTGGGGTACATGAGGGGGCTAAGGATTCAGGGGTCTGTACATGAGGGAGTGGGAATTAAGGATATTGAATTTAGGTTAATTGGCTAATCGACTAGTTGATGCAATTTGCATTGAGTATTCGATTAGTCAATAAGGGTGCCTCTGCCTTTTGAAGTGTAGCAACAGCCCCAGGGCGAAAACAAAGGCGAAAGCGCTGCAGAGAGCACTCAAGCTGTTCCCCGCTGGCACCATGCTCCCCATGGCATTTCAAAGCGGCAGAGGCCGGGCTCAGCGGAGGAGTCCCCAGGTGACCCCGGGCTTTGTGTGGTGTTGCTGCTTTGAAATGCCGCATGCAGCCTGAAGCCAGAGTCCCCAGCTGGCACGGGGCTGCATGTGGCATTTCAAAGCAGCAGCGCAGTGTAGAGCCTGGGGTTAGCTGGGGACTGAACCTGGGCTCCATGCAGCACTTCCAATTTGAAATGCCGCAGGGAGCCTGATCCCGGGCTCCCAATGGCAATTCAAAGCGGCAGCACTGCATGCAGTCCAAGGTCACTCCTGGGCTCCAGGTGATGCTGCTGCTTTGAAATTCTGTGTGCAGCCCAAACCTGCTGGGGACTCCCCAGCTGGCCCTGGGCTGTGCACGGCATTTCAAAATGGCAACACCATGTGGAGCTCAGGGTCTGGCCCTGGGTTGCACACGGCGCTGCTGCTTTGAAGCACCTCATCCTCTACTTCCTCCCCCTTTGCCTCTTTCTGAAAGAGACAGGAAGGGGGCAGGAAGCGACTAGTCGACTAGTGCATCAACTGTTTGAAAAGCATTTGCTTATCAGATAATCAACTAGTCATTCACATCCCTAGTGGGAATGCACTTACTTGTCTTCACATCCTACGCCACTCCTGGGCATGGTCTCCTGCTGCTCCTCTTGGTCAGATTCTGTCCAACGGAAGCAGCAGGGAAAGCCTCCAGGCTGCTGGGGGGAGGAGGGAGCACTTCTTCCCCATGAACCAGATCATGTAGCAAGGCTCAGGGCTTTCTTCCTTCACCACAGCGGAAAATCATCGCTGGTGCTCCAACCTCATGTCAGGGAAGGGGGAGCACTGAGTCTGGAACACCAGCACCACCAGCTCTCCATTGTGGGTGTGGAGGGCTTTGCTCAAACCACAGACCATGCAGAAGGCAGCCGCAGATTACTAATGGCCTATGGACCGCATTTTGAGAACCACTGCTCTCGTGCAGCACCCTTGGGAGTGGACTGGTGCTGAATCAGAGAATATGCCGAACCACAGGAGGTCACTGTTGTCTAGCAGCATTCCCTACATTTCCACTGCTGACTGGGCTCTTAGAAAACATTTAGGGGTAAATTAGAGCTAAATAACAGCACAGAACACTGAGAGTCAGGACTGGTGGCTGTAAACAAACTTTATGGGACCATGGGAAACTTGGCCACACCCATAAGTGGACCTTCCTCTAACTAAGATCATAACAGATCATGGATGTCCTCTAGTACAGAGAGTTTCTGACTAGAGGTTCAACTGTTAGTATATTAAAAATATTTCCATGGGCAAAGCAAGCTACACCAGTATAAGCAACAGTTTTGCTTTAACTGTGTCTACACTAGGAACTATTTCTACTATATAACTTTTTAAAATGAAGACTAGACCGCAGAGGAGTATTGTGGGAAGTTGAGAAATTATTGCAGGAGATATTCAAATTAAGTTGTCTAAAATTAAAATGTTATTGTCAAAGACAGAAGCCTAATGGATGAAACTTAATTTTGAGGGTACATTTTAATATAAATAGCTTGGTACTAAGCTGAGCAGAGTAAAATGTGTACACAGATTGACAAATTTCAAGTAGTATATTGGTCAAAGGTTTTTGTACATTGTGACAAATGATCAATGTAGGTATGGTGGGACTTGAGCTTTCTTTGGTGGGGACTAGGATGGGCTAGGCAAGGGCCCCTCTAGTAGCACAGGTAAGGAAGGGAAGCAGAGAAGAGTTATGACCTCTCAAACCCTGCAGGTTTCTTACCCTCTTCTCCCTTGGGTAGTGTTACCTTGGTTCTTGATGATGGGAGAGGGTATCTCTCTTCCTCCAATTCTCTAGTCTCTCAAATCTCAGCAACACACCTCCAAACTCTAGTTCTCCCTCCTTCCTCACTTCATTCTGTCTGGCTGAAGCAGGAAGGTGAGAGGTGGTGTTCCTGACAGTACCTTAATTGTCGGCAGGTGCTTCAGTTGCTCTATAGGGAACAGTATCTTAATTAGCTTGCTGTATCACATCAGGTTCCTGACAATGCCTTAATTGGCTACAGGTGCTTCAATTAGTCTGTAGTAGCATTCCCTAGTCTACAAGGAACCATGCCTTAATTAGCCTAGGGTTTATATACTTCCCCTTTAGTGCACTCACACTGCTTCCTGGCCCTACTGTATCACAACACCTTCAGACTCAAATATTGCAAACTTTGGTTCAGAGATCTCAAGTGGGGGTTTCCATAATCAGTGAGAGTAGCAGTAGAGGGTCTGTCGTATAACATGTTTAATTAAACAACAATTAAGCAACACCTTAATGTCTCCCAATAATACTTGAGTAATTCAACAGAGCTGACTGAATGTGGTGCTGTTTTTTCTTTGTAGAACACGAGGGGGTTGTGCCCCCTGCTCGCTATGCTCATCCGCCCCCTCCTCTGTGGCCTAGGATTATTGAGTAGTCGAGTCAATTACTCGCATTTCCCACTCCCCACCTTTTGCTGCCTCTGTATCTGATAGAGGCGGCAGTGCGATGGGAGGACGGGGTAGGTGGCACCGCGGAGACGATGCTTCTAAGTGGGCTTCTGCCAGCACAGGCTCCTGCTTTCCTCCTTCGCCATCTCTGATACAGGGGAGGGGAAATGTGAGTTGTCGCCTAGGCTTATTGGGTAGTCGACTACTAGCTTGCATTCCTAGTGCAGAGCGGGGTCTGCCACCAAGAAGTGTCATTTTGGTTGTAGTCGATGAGGTAGGTGGCACTGTGCTGTAGGTGAGGCTGCGCAGTGTTTCTCAGGTGGCAGGGCTTGGTGACCCCGGTCACATGGGTCTGCTCACAGTACTCTTCAGCTGGCAAGCTGAACGTGTTGGTGGCCACCACAGTCACGGTGAAGGCGGTGTTCAGGAGCTTGGGCATGCAACACGGCAGCTACCTGCTCACATTGTCCACGCACGCATCCGTGGCAGCGGCGCAGTGCCCGACCAGCTCCGCAGCAGCAAGGGCAATATGCTGCAACCCATCCACGGCCAGCACTAGCGATGCCCATGCAAGACATGATGGCTGTCTACTGAGCAGCTTGCGCCTAGAGTAGCTATTGGCACTGGATCTAGCGACGGTTAGCATGGGCAAGCGAGTGCACAGTGAGAGGCAGCTGAGGACAGCAAACGCTCAGGCGGCTCCTGCTGCTGTGCATCTGTTTAGTCAGAGTGGGAGTGGGCCCTGGCCTGGCTGGAGGAGAAGCAGGAGGCCCAAGGGAGTGGGGGCGGGGTGTGCAGTGCATGCTGGGAGCTGGCTGGGACGGGGTACTTGGGATCTCAGGAGTGTGTGGGTGTTTCTGAGATGACCCCTGCTTCAGCCAGACAGGATGAAGTGAGGAAGGAGGGAGAACTGGAGTTTGAAGGGGTGTTGCTGGATCAGAATCTCCCTCCCTGTGTCGCACCCTGTGGGGTTTGCCCTCCACTTGCTGCAGCCATGTGAAACACAAGGTGTTCCATGGGGACTCCGGGCTGGCTGCTGGATAGGACTCCCTACCCCAACCAGGAGTCTGCAACCAACCGCCCTCCCCCAAGCCTGGTTAGGAAGGCCCTCTCTGACTCCAGGCTCCCCCTCTGGCAGAGCCTGTTGACACTGATGATGTCATTCTGTCGTCCAGCAGGATTGATTTTTTTTTTTTTTATAGAGAGAGATTAACCAAAGTTGAGTTCATATTTAGTGCACAGACATGCACGAAAGAAGCTCTCAGTACAAAACTATGTAGTGTCCATAGGCTTTTCTACGTAGGCACATGCTGATGTAATCTAACTACTTTAATTAAAGTCATTTATTTTAATGCTGTATAGGCAATCAGATGGTGATAGTATGCTGAGATCTGTAGTATTGTCTTTGGCTAAGACATCTCCCCTTATGTTAATCTTTGTGGTTGCACAGTCAAATAAGCAAGTGTCACTGAACTTGCTGTCACTCATGGAATTGTAAATAACCTAAAACAGCGCAGCAGGGAAACATGCTTTGTTTCTGTCAGGCCTGTTAAAGAAACAGTAGGAGTTAGACCTTGGGCCTATTTTAGGTTTTTTGTCTACATTGACACTTTCATTGCTAAAATCTTTGTCACTCAGGGTTGTGCTAACACTTTCCTCCTCTCTCCCCCGCCTGCCCTCCTGGGCCCAATGACAAAAGCTCTAGCAGTGAAAAACATTATTTTGGACAGCACTTTGTTGGCAGGAAGTGTACTGCCAGTGTGAGAGCTACCATCCCTCATAGGAGGTAGTTTTATTTGGTCGTTGGAAAAGCTCTCTCCTGGCAATAAAGAGCAGCCACACGCCGCATCTTAAAACAGTGTGACTACAGTGGCCTAAGTGTGTCTTCTGGGAAATTTCAAATTGGCTTCTGACTTTTTTAGTCACCTAACTTAAATTTTCTGAGAAACACATGTAAGTGCTGACGAGTTCCCCCACATTTGTATGCATGGTCCATTGACATTCATATTCCATAAATTGCCAGGGGATCAGCCATATCATTGGCTTGCAGAGGTGAAAATAGAGTTGTATGGTGTTGGTCTTCCTGATCCCAGCAAGGCGTTACTTAGTTAAAACAGTCTTTGGACCCACACTTAGGATGGTTTTATTTTTAGTAAATTTTAAATCCACTTTTAGAAGTGGATGTGCGCACCTTTTAGAAAAGAACCAAGGACTTATTCTAACTATGGTCTGATTGTGAACTCTCCAAGGTAGGGACTCTTCTTGGTTTGTTGTGTTACATAGCACGCTTTTGGCACTTACTGCAAATCTTGTTTTTCAGGTGGCAGAGATAAACGTGGAGGCCCCATTCTGACCTTTCCAGCTCGCAGCAATCATGACAGAATACGACAAGAGGACCTTAGGAGACTAATCTCATATCTAGCTTGTATCCCTAGGTAAGAGTTGATCACTTGTCAAGTATGAAAGCTTAGCACTGAAACTGTTGGTTAGCACTGCAGCATGTTCTTTGGTCATGAAATGAAATTGGTTAAAGAGGTATGCAAGTTCATACCAAATTCATGCCCCTTACTATCTTAACAGCAAATTGGGCCTACCTGAGGAAGGACCGGCTGCTGCTTGTCAGTTGGAACTAGGTAGTGATCTGATGGTCATACAAAGGTGCTTCCCATTCCAATCTCAGTGGAGTGGCTTAGAGGATAGGGCATTTGCCTGAGGAGTGCAGGGATCAAGCCCCCTCTACACTGACTCTGGGAGCGGTGAAACAGCCAGGGCTGGCTGCCCCAGGTATGTAGCTGGGTCCCTCATTTGGAAAGCAAGATACGGTATGCCCTGAAGGTAGGGAGGTACGGTGCTTTCTGGAGTGGATCAGAGGATAGGGCATTCACCTGTGTAGTTCATGGAGGAGGGTTTGAGTCTTGTCCCTCCTCTGCACACCTTGGGAGTGGCCTGATAGCTGCTGCAGGGATGGAGCAGTGGAGTTAAGGTAGGCATACTCCTTCCCTGGCCCTGTAGTGGCTCCATGTGTTGCTCCTCATCTACAGGCACCGACCCCCATAACTTCTACTGGGAACGGTTCTCCATTATTGATCAATAGGTGCTGCAGAAGCGGTGTTTGCAGGCAAGGACAGTATATGGAGACACCCTCCCCCCCCGCTCTGACTTTCTCAGGGGCTGTAGGGACATGCCAGCCACTTCTAGGAATAGCAGCTACCATGGGGATAATGACTCCAGCCACAACAGGCTAGGCATTTTAGAACTCACTACTCAAAGAATTAAATGTAAGTGTAAGAGAAATGAAAAGGTTGAAATGGACAGACCAGTCACAAACCAAAAATAACCCACTTTGCGAGCAGTAACAGAAGTAACAACCCCCTCTTTGCCCCCGAAGTATGTGTTGGGTCAGGAGATGAGAAAGAAGGACACTGTGTGTTTGTGAGAATGATGGACACACACAGTGTATGCGAGTGACAGAGATTTGTATCGCCAAGCTCCCTCCATCCCCTTTTCTCTGTGTGGAGATGGGGTACAGAAGTGGGGGGAGGAGTGACACCCTGACATCAGGGCCCCCCCGCTCTCCCTCCCACACTCTGCACAGCAAGCAGGATGCTCCCAGGGGGGCAGCTCCAAGGCGGAAGGCAGGAGCAGCATGACAGTGGATGGAGGGGCAACTGAAGGGCCAATGTTCGATAGCTTCCTCGCCAAACCAGTCAGGATCACCTGTCAGAGGCTCCAAGATCTACTGGTAGATCCCGATCTACTGGCTGGTGACCACTGCAGCCA